GGGGGGGGGGGGGGGGGGGGGGGGAGAGGTGAGGGCAGGCGGGGGTGGGGGGCTTCCGGGAGGAGACGTCTGAGTGTGAGGGGCTTGTGTGTCAGTGTCAGTCTGAGTGTGTGACTGTGAATGGGTGTGACCCTGGGAGCGTGAGTGTATGCGTGTGCATCGGTGTCAGTCTGAGCGTGTGACTGAATGGGTGTGACCCTGGGAGTGTGGATGGGTGTGTCAGTCCGAGTCTGTGATTGTAAATGTGTGCCCTTTGGGAGTGAATGTGTATGGCTGGCTCATTGTGTGCTTGTGAATTCGTGTGTCCCTGTGAGTATATGAATGTGTGTGGCATTTTCAGTGTGTGAATGTGTGTTCGTAAGTGTGTGAACGTGTGTGTCCCTTTGAATGTGAATGTATGAGTGTGTGTGATTGTGAATGGGTGTGTGTCTGAATGTTAGCGTGAATGGAAGTCACTGTCTTAAGTATGAAGAGGTCAGTGTGTCAGTTGTTTGTGATTGTGAATGTGAGTGTCAGTGTGGTGTCCATGGGAGTGAGAATGTCTGTCAGTGTGTGTGTCAATTGGAGTATATGAATGTGTGAATTTCATTGTGTGAATGGGTCATTCCTAGTGTGTGTGATTTTGGATGTGTGAAAGTGTGTGTCCTTGTGAGTGTGTGAATTTGAGTGTTATCAATGTGTGTGTCCCTGTGAGTGGGAATGGTTGAATAAGTGTGAATGTGTGGGGGGTGTGATTGAACAGTTTAGGTGCAGCATTGGACAAACTCAAGAAGAATTTAGTTCAGATCCTGCCTCAGATACATAATAACTATGTAATCCTCTCTCTGCTTCAGTTTTCCTCATCTGTAAAATGGGAATAATAATAGAACCTGCTTCCCAGGGTGGTGAGGATCAAATGAGATAATATTTGTAAAATGTTTTGCCAACCTTAAAGCACTGTATAAAATGCTATAAATGATGATGATAATCAATGATGTGTATGGATGTGAATACATATAGGAATGTGTATGAGATCAAGCAGAGACTGCAATGATAAACTGGTGAAATAGTAAATAGGGCTCAAGGGATGAGAAGGACTAGGAAGGAAAATGGATTAGGGAGTGGGGATTTGAACCTACTGGTGTTATGTGAGGGGTGGGGTAGCCTGTGCAGGTTAGGTTTGGGTAAATAGGAAGTTTGGAACGGGGTTTGAATTGGAAAGGTATAAATTTGGTAATTTGAGTAATTTCAGTTCCAGTCAGTAGAACTTTGAGGACGAGGTTGGGGATGGTAGTGTTGTATGGGTTGGACTTGAAATGGGTTTTAGTCCAGCAGCATTTACTAAATACTTAGTTCTCACCTGGCAGTATGCTGAGGCCCTGGGGATACAGAGACAAAAATGAAATAGCCCCTGACCTCACAGAGTTTAGATTCTTGGGGAGGAGGGACACAACACGTACATACATATACATTTGAGTGTAAGGGATTCCTAGTGAGAAACTTCTTTACCCTTTCAGATCAAGTACCTTCTTTGCAATTTATATTCCTAGAGAGAGTTACTTGTGGCACTGAGAGATTGAATAACTTGCTAAGGGTCCCACTCTGACTTGATGCCAGCCCTCTTCTGTAGTCCAGACTACTTTTTTGTTTTTCTAAGTATGTAAAGAATAAATATGAGTATTTTTTTTAGGGGAAGGCACTAGAAGCTGGGGAGTTTCATATAGAACGGGGCACTTGAGGTCAGTTTTAAAGAAAATGGGGTTTTAAAGAGGCAGAGGTAAGGAGGGAGTACTTACTGTAGGCCCCGGGGGGAATGTGTCATTACAAAGGCACAGAGATGTAGAAGGAAATGTGCAAACAGCAAAAATTCTAGTTTGATTCTACCACGAGTATAGGAAAGGGAGTAATGTCTGATAAGTTTGGAAAGATAGGTGGAAAATTTCTGGCAGAGGAATTTAGGACAAGATAATAGGGGTGGGGTGGAGTGGGGGGTATTATACAAACAAGTAAGCACGATTGGGTTGCTTTTACTCTTTATGTGGCTTGCATCTATGCCTCAAAGACCCAGTAAATTGATGGCCTTGAAAAGTAAAGGGTTTGAGATTTTTTTCCTTCCCTCCTTAATAGTGACTTATTTGTCTGCTTACTGCTCTGACTTAGTAAATTACTACTGAGGTCAGTGTTTCTAGCTCCTGACTTCGCAAAAGTTCTTTAGTCTGTCTTAAGTTCAGCAATTCAATTAAGCATTTATTAAGTGATGACTTTGTACAAGGCACTAAGTTAGGGACTGGGAATGCAAGGACAAAAAAATGAAACATGGCCTTTGCTTAAAGAGTTTACATTTCATTGAGAGATAGTGTGTACCTAGTGAAGTAAATACAAAGTAATGTTAGGAAGCAAAAAGCAGTAACAACTGGAATGGGGCGTGTGAGAAATCAAGAAAGTCTGGGAATGATGCTTGGCTGTATCTGGAAGAAAGCTAGTGATTCTAGGACTTAGAGGTGAGAAAAGAGGACATTTCAGGCTTGGGGAGGGGAGGGCACAGCCTTTGTAAAAGAACAGACCAGGGGTATGGCATATCCAGTTAGAGATGAGGAAAAACCTCAAATGTCATTTCGTTCAGCTCCCTCATTTTATACATAGGCTTCTGAGGCTGAGGAGATGTATAAGTGACTTGCCCAAGGCCACACAGCTAGTAGGTGGCGGAGCTGGGACTTGAATTTAGGTCTCATGACTCCAGGGCCCATAGATGCTCTTTCCACTATAGCACACTAATTCAGGAAAAACAGGTGAATGCTACATTAGGATGGCTTTGAAGTGTCAGGATGAGGACTTTGTATTTTATCTTAGACACAAATAGGTAGGGAGCCACTGAAGACTTTGGAAGTAGAGGTGTGACATGGACAGACCTTAGGGATAGCATTTTGGCAGCCCTGTGGAGAGGGGAGAGAGCCTGGTAGCAAGAAGTCCAAATAGGTGGCTGTTGCTGTAGTTCAGGTTAGGTATGATTAGGAATTCTATCAAGAAGCATTTATTAAACATATATCATGGGGTTGGACACTGCTAAATGCAATCTCTCACCTCAGAGTGAGAGGAGGAGGAATGTCAATCCACTCAGAGTGGATTGACAAAGATGATTCCCAGGCTGTGAACCTGAATGATTGGAAGAGAATATTGGTGCTGTTGACAATAGGGAAGATAGGAAGAGGAAAACCAGGTTTAAGAGGAAAATTCTAGTTTTGGATGTGCTGAGTTTGAGATGCCTAAGGTATCCATGTGAAAATGTCTAGTTGATGTAAGAATGATGAAGGGCATGGTTTAGGAAAAAACTGGTCAGTACAACTGACTCTTTACAGTAGGGGTCTCCATAGTGGGGATCATGGGTTGGCTTGGCTCCAAGTGTGTGATCAACCAATGAAAGGATAGGAATATGAATCATATCCTACCCTCCCTCTCTTCATAGTCTATTTGGGGCTTGTCTCCAGCACAACTTTTCCTAGCCCCATCTACCACTTAGGCAAAGGTTTTTGTTGAAATGTGGCTAATAAATTTACATCTTCCCTGATAACAGTCATTGTTCTTGCAAACTGTTGGAAGATTTAAGATATATATGCATATATATATACACACACACACACACATATATATACATATACATATATATTACATATCTATTAAATGGGTTCAAAACCCACTGCAGTTCTCAATTACAAGATTTTTTAAAATAGGGTAGAAAAGTTTCCAAGTTTTTTTATGAGAGTTTTTGTAAATGGCATGATTTTCAGCAATTCAGAGATGAGACAATAAGTATGCAGGAGAGAGGGGGAGTGACCACCAGTATTGAGTGCTGCAGAGAAGTCTCACTAGTGATTATATACACAAAAATTATGAAAATTGAGAAAAGGCCACCACTAGATCTGGCAATTCAAAAAATCATTGGTAACTTTCAAGAGAGAAGTATACTTTGGGTAAAGATTCAGGGATAACAAACAAAGAGGTTGAGAACTTGGGAGAATGGGAAGGATGTGGGTGTCCTCAATGAAAATAAGGACATTTGGAAGAATAGTGGGTTGGGGCAGGGAAGATAATGTAATCCATCCATTCCTGCTCTTCCTGTGCTACTCACTCTTTCCCAGTGAGAAAATGAAAAGTAAACAGAGTCCTTACTGGTCACTACTCCAGAGAGCCTGTCAGCTGATAGTTGTTTGGGTCTACCATGAGGTGATCTAGGGAATAAATAGTGTGTAGTAATGCTGGGGCAAGTGGGCAAGGGATTTCGCCTAGACAGTTGATGCCATCCTGACATCATCATCTGGAACAGACAATACCTACCCTTCCCCACCCTTAGTGGTGGAAGGTAGCTAGCTGAGGAGTGTTGTGTTAAGGAGTAAAAAAAAGGTGGTGTGGTTGGATTAGAGAGAGAAGTGGAAGGTGGCATACAACCGATTTTTCCGCTCTCCAGCTACACATCCTAGTAACAGCCTCCAAGACCCTACTTTGGAGATCATTAGACTACCCTCCCTAAAACCTTTTATCTTGTTGCACTTCACTACTCTTTTCCAAGTCACTGTATTTGCTTGGAATACATGCAGTCTGGGCTGACGTAGAATTTTTCCTGCTCTGTAGTAAGGTGATCAGGAAAATTAGAGTTGTTTAAAGATGTTCTAATCTTGAATTTACCAGATAAAACAGTTAAGATAGTGTTTGCTTATCAGGAAAATTTAGTTAGGGTGGCTGATTTTATATGTAGGATAGGCAGATATTACTTAGAGGCTAAAAAGAATGTTAAATGTTTA